ATAGAGTATGGTTACAAACAAAACAAAGGAGAAACTTGAAACTTATGAAACATTAAAGAACGCAAAGTAAGAATGAACATAAATGAGGGCCGGAAAACTTAATATTCTGGATTATAGTAACACTTCTCCTTACACTAAACAATGGAATAAAAGACTCCAGCAACTGAGAAAGGAGCCTACACCACCAATTCAAAAAATCGGTAAACCATCAACAATTATATATAAACACATCACACACACACACTCATTGATTCTTACAGAGCATGAAGACTCTAATAATGTCATGCAACCTATTACATCTAATCTCTACATGAGGAAACTCCATCCTGATATAACAGCATCATGGAAGGTAGAAAGGAGCAGCATTATTTAGTGAATACATAACCAACTTCTATAGGTTGCACTGACAATAAAAGATAAACCACATCACACCATCACCAAGATTGAGAGACCAATGCCTGCCACTATATTGTAAGAATTAATAATAGAAACGTTACGTCTATCCTTATCTTTTCATAGCAATAGATACAGGGCCACAAGAAGGTAAGCAGCCATTAATGATACACTATTAAATTATTGTACCTTATTGCAGGCCCTATTCAGCCTATCCATGGTATTAATCACAACAATTATTAAACTGCTAAGTACTGAAAATTAAGCTCCTAATAGTCACTTAGAACTGTAGAATGGTGTGTAGATTACTGATAACCTTTTAGTTTTAATAAAAGAAAATTAATAGCATCAAAAAATTGTAAAGCTACACAAAAACAACAAGATTTTGGCACTTTTATTACTATTTAGAGTTCAAATTTCCTCAGGACATTCCTCCTCTTAGTGAACTCATCGCTTTTCTTGGCACTCACTTTCTTACCATCTTAAAAAAAAACAGAGAACATGAACTCAAGACATTCCATTGACTTACCAACCATACGTCCTAATCTCTCACTCTCATTCTCAATATAGGAATCTCCTTTCTCTTGGACTTTATTCATCACTTTAACATAATAGTCAGCCCTGATGAGGGAGGAAAAGAGAGATAGAGAGAGAGATGGGGATAGACATTACGTTTGTTGTTATTTGTTATGCAATCCTACAAGAGGTTGACTAAATCATAAATTCTAAGTATCAATATATGCAATAGGGT